CAGGATAGTCTCGATCTCCTGACCTCGTGATCTGCCCGTCTCGGCCTCCCAAAGTGCTGGGATTACAGGCTTGAGCCACCGCGCCCGGCCTCATCATAATTTCTTGCCTAAAATACTGTACAACTCTCCAAAATGGTCCCTTTCATTCCTGTCACCCTCAAATCTAAATTCTACATGGCAACCAGAATGACATTTATTTTTTATTTATTTCTTTTTCTTTTTATAATAGATATGGAGTCTCACTATGTTGGCCAGGTTGGTCTTGAACTTGTGGCCTCAAGACATCCTCCCGCCTCGGCCTCCCAAAATGCTGGGATTATAGGCATGAGCCACCATGCCCAGTCCCAGAATGTAATTTAAAAATCTTACCATCCTGACTAACATGGTGAAACCCCCTCTCTACTAAAAATACAAAAAATTAGCCAGGCGTGGTGGCAGGCGCCTGTAGTCCCAGCTACTCGGAAGACTGAGGCAGTAGAATGGCGAGAACCTGGGAGGCGGAGCTTGCAGTGAGCCTAGATTGCCCCACTGCCCTCCAGCCTAGGTGACAGAGCAAGACTCCGTCTCAAAAACAAAAAAAAAAAACAAAAAAAAACCCTGAAAACTGGGGCCGGGCACGGTGGCTCACACCTGTAATCCCAGCACTTTCGGAGGCTGAGGCGGGCAGATCACTAGGTCAGGAGATCGAGACCATCCTGGCTAACATAGTGAAACTCTGTCTCTACTAAAAACTACAAAAAAAATTAGCCAGGCATGGTGGCGGGCGCCTGTAGTCACAGCTGCTCGGGAGGCTGAGGCAGAAGAATTGCTTGAACCTGGGCGGGGGAGGTTGCAGTGAACTGAGATCGTGCCACTGAACTCTAGTCTGAGCGACAGTGCAAGTCTCCGTCTCAAAAACAAAAACAAAACAAAACCCTTTGTGGCAAATGAACCCTTTTACCTCAGGTTGTCAGGTCATAATCTAGTCCCCGCCCTCGACAATTACATTTCATACCATTCTCTATCTTGCCCACTACATTCCAACTATGCTAGTCTTTTTCTCAGTTTCTTCAATGCTTTGTTTTCCCATGTGAGAAATTTCACATATGCTATTTCCTTTGCCTGAAAAGCTCTCACTTCACTTTCAGACTACTGGTTCTCATTCCTCAAGTCTTGGCCTTAAATCTCACTTCTGGCCTGGCGCGGTGACTCACGCCTGTAATGCCAGCACTTTGGGAGGCTGGGGCGGACGGATCACCTGAGGTTAGCAATTTGAGACCAGCCTGGCCAACATGGCGAAACCCCGTCTCTACTAAAAATGCAAAAAAAATTAGCTGGGCATGGTGGTGCGTGCCTGTAGTCCCAGCTACTCGGGAGGCTGAGGCAGGAGAATCGCTTGAACCGGGGGGGCAGAGGTTGCAGTGAGCCGAGATCACGTCACTGCACTCCAATCTGGCGACAGAGGGAGGGAGACTCTGTCTCAAAAATCAATCAATCAATCAATCTCCCTTCTCAGAGAATTCTTCCTTGACCATCTCATATAAGTATTCTCCCTGGTAATGTACTCTAGCCTCACAACCTGCTAATAACCCTTCATAACTGCTATAACTTCTTTTTTTTTTTTTTTTTTTTTTTTTTTTTTGAGACGGAGTCTCGCTCTGTCGCCCAGGCTGGAGTGCTGTGGCCCGGTCTCAGCTCACTGCAAGCTCCGCCTCCCGGGTTCCCGCCATTCTCCTGCCTCAGCCTCCCGAGTAGCTGGGACTACAGGCGCCCGCCACCTCACCCGGCTAGTTTTTTGTATTTTTTTTTAGTAGAGACGGGGTTTCACCGTGTTAGCCAGGATAGTCTCGATCTCCTGACCTCGTGATCCGCCCGTCTCGGCCTCCCAAAGTGCTGGGATTACAGGCTTGAGCCACCGCGCCCGGCCACTGCTATAACTTCTTAATTCATAATGTTTTGTTTATTGTATAACTTTCCCATAGTCAGTAAGTTCCAAGAGGGAAAAGACCACGCCTGTTTCGGTTCTAACTGCATACCCAGGGCCCAAAGCCTGACATACATAGCTGGCACTCAGTATTTGTAAAACCAATGAATAAAGAAGCGAACAGAACTCAGTGGGCGGGCCAATGGGCTTGTCAGGGGCGTGGCCCACGTAGAGGCGGAGTCTCCCCGCGGGATAGGGACCGGAAGCTTGGGCGGAGCTTCCCAGAGTAGCTCACACGCCTTGGGGCGGGTCTAGGCGGGCGGCGACTTCGCGGGCAGAATTGGGGCTTATTTTCCCTATCCTTTAGCAGTTTCCTCCCCCAGAGCCCTGGCTCACCCGAAGGCACCTCTCCCCACCACTCGGATCCGCTCGTACTTCTCCATCTCATTTCTTAGCGTTTCACTTCCGTCTCCCACGCGGCGCGTGCGCGGACCCAGCCACTCTGGGCCCCGCCCCTTCACGGCGAGCGGCTTGCGGGGCGGAGCCAGCGCGCTAGGTGTGGGTTTCGCCACGCGTCCGTATTTGTGGGCCTGCACCACACACCTGCCGCTGCGACACGCCGTCACCTTTCCCCTCACGACCCTGCCCCACGCAGTGTCCAAGGGATAGGGCAAGAAAATAGGGCGCGCCCCGCAATGGCGGGCACGGTACCCGCCCCTCCCAAGCATATACCCAGCCCTTGTAAAGCTTGCTAGACTAAAAGGATGTCGCGTTCCTGAGAGTTGCACCCCACAGGCCGGGCGGGGGTGGGAAGAGAGGATCGACCCCCTTCTTGCCCACGAGTGACGCTATTTCAGGAGAAATCGGGTTCTCCTTGGCACACAAACGATAAACACAACCAAAACGACCGAGGCCAGAGCTCCTGGGAGAAGGCAGCAGAGTTAGTTTCGTGTTTGCCTAGGGAGGGACGAGGGAAATCCCAAGTTGTGCAAGTTGATTCACCTGGGGAGGACATTACACGGTCTCAGGCCGTCCCGACTAGTGAGCACCGCGCTGGTCAGGACTCTCAACTCGCTTTTCATACACACGCACTGCAGGAGGGTAATCTGCCCTCAGTGCTCATCTAGGGTGAACCCCATGGGGGAAGATGGGGGCGGAAGTGAATCACTACCTGAAAGCATCAAGGGGAAAAGGAAAGACCGCGGTTTCGCCGAAATGAGCTCAAGACAAAGCCTAGAGGCAGAGGGCTGGTTAGTGTGACTAACTAGGCTCTTTACCGGAAGTGAGGTTAATTCCAGGTTCTCCCGGGCTCCTGCTCTGCTGGAGCTCTATAAAAACTCAGTATTCGGCCAGGCGAGGTGGCTCACGCCTGTAATTCCAGCACTTTGGGAGGCCGAGGCGGGCAGATCACCTGAGGTCAAGCGTTTGAGACCACCCTGGCCAACATGGTAAAACTTCATCTCTACTAAAAATACAAAAAGTTGGACATGGTCGCGCTCGCCTGTAATCCCAGCTACTCGGGAGGGTGAGGCAGGAGAATCGCTTGAATCTGGGAGGCGGAGGTTGCAGTGAGCCGAGATCGTGCCACTGCACTCCAGCCTGGGCGACAGAGTGAGGCTCCATCTCAAAAAAAAAAAAAAAGAAAGAAAGAAACCCTGCCCCGGCCTTCGCAAGGGTACCCAAACCCGCCCACGTGGAAGGACTGCTGATGGGCGCTGGCTCAGGCCGGTGTCGGCCGGCGGACAGAGCAGCTCTGTGAGCCAAGGGGAGGGGCGGGAAAGCCGCTCACCCGGGACACCAGTGCTCTCACCTAGAAACCGACTGCGCCTTGATTAACCTAGGAGTCCCACAGGGGTTAATGTGTAACCTTGGAGCCATAGGGGAGGAAAACACTCAAACGGCTTGGTCCGTGGGTCCTTGCGCCTCAGGTTTTTGGCTTTTTCCTCCCTCCCGCAGCACCTTTCTCCTCCCTCACTTCTTCCCTCCCCTCTTCTATTACCACCCTCTCCTCCCTCCCCGCCCTCACCCCCGCTTCACTTCCCTCGCTAGCTCTCAGCGACTCCTCCTTTCGCCCAGTTTACCTAAACTTCCCCCGAAAGCAGCCGCCTCGCTAGGAGGCGGGAGAGGGAGCCCGCGCCACAGTGAGGGCAGGCTGACACCTAGTGGCCAGGAGCCGCAACTGCTGCAAGCTACCGGCCTGGAGAGCGCGGGTCACCCCAGCAGTCCCGGCAAATCCGCGGTCTTGCTTGCCCAGCCTCCGGGGAGCCAGGCCGAGGGCCGGAACTGTCTGAGGGAGGACTGTGACAGCCGCCCGGCCCCGGGAGCTTAAGAGCGGGCGGGGAGAGGTGGCGATGGGTTACTCAGCAGTTCCCAAGCGCCCACCTCGCGGGCGCGGGAGGGACGGGTAAACCCGGGTCTCCGGTCAGAAGACTGCGAGTGGTGCGGTGGGGGCACTGGGTCTGCACCGAGACCACTGTCGGAGGCGGGGCTCCCGAGTCCACCCCAGGACCAGGACTTAAGGGGCGTGGGCGTGTCGGGTCCCGTCCAGCTCTTCGCAGAAGGTAGAGGGTGGAGAGAGCTCTCGCGGTACCCGCCCAGGGCGGGGGAGCCGGTGGCCCGGGGAAAAGTGGGGACGCGGGTTAATGAGGCCGGGCGAGCCACGGCAACTGGGACTCCGTCGGCCGTCGGGAGG